GTTTCGGCTGGGATAGAGTTAATTTCCTTCCTAGTAGCTGGTACAGTGCTGTGTGTTGGATTTAGGATGAGAACAATGTTGCTAACACACCCATGTTTTAGTTGTTGCTGAGCAGTGCTTACACTGGTCAAGGACTTTTCAGCTTCCCATGCTCTACTGACCGAGAAGGCTGGAGGTGCACAAGAAGCTGGGAGGGGGCACAGCCAGGACAGCTGACCCAAACTGGCCACAGGGACATTCCATACCATGTGACATCATGCTCAGTACATAAACTGGGGGAAGCTGGCTGGGGGGGCTGCTGCTCGGGGACTGGCTGGGCATCGGTCGGCGGGTAGTGAGCAATTGCAGTGCTTTGTATATTCTTCTTAGTATTATTGCTATTATTATTATGAGTAGTATTTTATTTCAATTATTAAACTGGTTTTATCTCAATCCACGAGTTTTCTCAGTTTTACTCTTCCGATTCTCTATGCCATCCCACTGGGGGCGGAGTGGGCGAGTGGCTGCGTGGTGCTCAGTTGCCGACTGAGGTTAAACCACGACACTCAGCCTGCCATCAGGAGACCAGTAAATGCACAATGAGATGCAGTGAGCTTCTGTAATGAGGGTGTTTCTTAAATTAAACTGGGACTCCAAGTAGAACCTGTTCATAGGAACCTCAGAGTTAACTTACAATTTCAGAGACATGTCAGATATCACAGGACTGCTAGTTATAGCACAGTGCTATAACCTACATGGTGCTAAAAGTGGGACATCCACGGTGGAGCTGTCTCAGCCAGCCCCCTTCACAGGCATATTGGAAATCCATGGGGTAAAAATGGGGCCAGCATCCCAGAAACTTTAAAAATACAAAAAGAATGCCCTCATTTAACAGGAGGCGTACTGAACTGAACCCATTCCATGTCCTTTCTTGAACTGAGTACTCCACGGGAAACAGATTAAAATTAGGTGTGTGGGAAGCACGCACTGTGCAAAAACCAAACTGGCAAACTTACTCAGTTTCCACAATGACAGTCTGTCTAAAGCTTGTTAAATTTCTGAAGGCATCTGTAAACTGTAAAAGATAAATGAATTGGAGTTAAAGGCAAACAGAAACAAAGATCAACATCACATGAAGGACTGAGGCTTCAGCTGTAAAGTTTTAATCCAGAACATGCTACTATAGGCACAAATAAAGCAGGCTGATCTGTCACATCCACCATGCAAGGTATTGCAGAAGAGGAGTGGTGGGATGGTGCTGTAACACAGGGAATATAGGAGAGCAGTAGAGGGATGGAGAGACACGATTTGAATGACTGTCAGGCAGTGCATTAGGGTTGCCTGGCTGGATAGCTACAGATACTCCCTTGCAGACTCATCGCTTAGAAGGGCATCTCTGCGGTACCAACCTACGTACAAGTAGAGGGAAGAGGGAGAAGTAGGCATCCTAACAGATAGCATGTGTCCCTAAGATGCAGTGAAGTGGGATTGTCAGGGGTTGATCTTGTGGGGAGAAGCACAGCACTGATGAAAGCACTGGGGGTTGGATGGGGTCAGTAGAAAAGTCACTGCTCTTCCTCATCCCATGTGAAGCAGGGAACAACTGGCGGAGGCAGCTGCCTCCAACTGCCACACAAGCAGGAGGCACCATGAGAAAAGGATAAGATGTCTAAGTCAACTGAAATGAAAGATAAACTATCCCTCTTTGTAATAAAATAAAAATTATTTTCTATGCTATTTTCACTTTTGCATACTATTACATATCTATTCTAGTGCTGCATATCATGCACTTTGTAGCCATGTCATGAAAAAACGTTGAACAAAAAAATTGAGGAAAATATTTTTTAACATTCTGGAGGGACAATTTTTGATTACTTTCTGATAAAACATTCACAGGAAGCAATATAATAACATGAAGAATTTGATAACCATTTCTGATGAATTCTGAGTAATATTTGGTGAATATTTTTTGATCAGCCATCTGGTAGAGTTGCATATCTCTTCTTCCTTACCTCCAGAACGTGACATAAGCAAATCCACTTGTTTCAACATGGCAGTATAAATTAAACTGTTCATCTTATTTCTCCAGGAAATCCATTACAAGATTTTATTTATAATCATAAAACGCTCAAAATGTGTAATATCCATTTCACTAATAGCATTAAAATACTAATACTGGTATGCTTATGGAAGAGGCTTATTATTTAGGTATTTAGACACAGCTGGACAGCCATTCTGAAAAGTTTGTGCTGTGTGGAAATGAGGGCTTTCTTAAAAAAAAAAATTGTTCATTTTTACTCATACCACTGAGTATTACTGAGCCCTCAGCAAACAGCAGAGATCAGAAACTAAATGAGTTGGAAAACTTTGCTCAGCCCCATGGTTTCTGGAGAGGGAATGGTGAAAGATACAGAGCAATTTATGAGAGAAGTTCCCAGAATAGAAGTGGCACTAAAAATGCAGATATTACTTATTTCAGGTACATCCCATCACTTCAGCAAGAGCCATGCATGTACTCATCTGAGGGCAAAATTCAAGTCTTTTATGAATAGGTCTAAACTAGTGTGAAGCATTCTTTGAAAGAAGTAGATTTCTCAAGTGAAACTCTCCTAGGCTCCACATTAAAGGCAGCATGTATACCCTCTGTCTGCATGACATTCAGGAAAGCATTAAATACACAGAAAAGGTTTAAAAAATCGTCACTCACAAACTCTGTTATATTTTGGAACACCTCTTCATACTGCACAGAATTTATAGGTTGAACACTTTTACTGTAAAATTCTTCCAGTGTAATGACCCCTGGGAATATTTTTCCTGGAATGAGAACAGAGAATATTAATTAATTAGAAAGCATTCAAGTAAGTCAAGTTTCATCTTAGAGTTCTCCAGCCTTCAGAGACGGGGAAATACAATGCAGAAATCAATCAGTGCTATTTTTTATATACTGGAGGAATCAGTAGGGGACAAATGTTTGCTCATTCAATTCAGCCACAATTCAGGACATACTCTGGCTAACTGGGAAGCAGGCAGGATACTGGGCTCAACCAAACTGGCCAGACTATGAAACTGAATAAAGTTAAACTGTAAGCATGGCCTGAAGCTAACAAAAGAGTCCATCTGAGGTGTTACAGCATTTAGTGAGAAAATACCTATATTAAGGACTTAAAATTTGCAGTTGCAGCCACTAAGCAGCTAACGTGGTTCACCATATCTGAGAAAGTGATTCAGTATCTACCTGCTTCTTTAGGCTTACAAGTAAATTTGAAAATCCTGCCTGCTGGCACTTAAATAAGAAGCCCCATTTGCTCACACGCTTGGCAGTTAGCAGCATCTCAGAGACACACTTCAACAGGACTGTGATGAGTCTTTAGCAATAGGGAAAATCAAGCCGGTTGTTCAGAGATCTTCATGGGTTTGGGCTTTTTTAAATCCTGGACATTAATATTGATGTCAGGTTTACACTTGCATTTTTTCCTGCTTTTCACTCATTTTAATCTCCAGTACCCCTGACAGAGAACTTGCCTTCTTTTCCTAGCACATTAGCCTCTTTGGCTGTTACTGTTTTGTGAGATAACAATCTAGGTCATTGTAGCAGTGGCTGTCTGCAAAGCAAGGCATTATTCAGCAGTCACTTTCCCAGACTGATTATGTTTTCAGTTATAACATGAGAACCAGGGATATGGGAAGAAAAATTCACCTGAGCAGTATGAAGCAACTAAAAATATAGATTGCCCTTCTGCAACTCACCTCTGTGACAATCCTTGTTCCTATAGTAGAATCCATACTGGCACAGGCATATCAAAGTGCTATTTAAAGCAACACATTTAGCCAAATTTGTTCCACAATGGTTTGGGTTGCACAAGCCCCCTGCTACAAAGATGAAAGATATTGACATCAGGATTTCTATGAATTTGCAATAGCCAGTTCATATATAAAGTAGTTCGTATATTAAATAGTTCATATATACTTCTACTAAAGGAAACTACCAGGTATATTTTATAGAGTATAGATGCAATTAGAGAGCACATGGCTATGTCTTGCTTGCTTAATGTCTGTATAGTAACTGTTTTCCCTACCCAATCCAGCAGGATATCACAGTGAGGACACAGAGTAAGGCTGAAATTCATTATCTGTCGTACTGAGCACTCCCAATCTAACTCTACTTAATACAACTAAAACCAAAACAAACAAAAAAAAGTATATTGAGGGTGGCCAAAATCAGTGACTAAGTTAGAAAAAGGCAGACTACAATAGCCTGTGCGTCTTTAATACTGCACTGGTAGGTACTTGCCTTATTATAACACAGTGTCATGGTAGGGTCCTTTACTGCAGACATTAATAAAATGAAAACTCCCAAGTTAATCATTATAGTATACATACCTCAATAGATATCAGAGTATGCTGCTAAGGAATTTGTTGCAGGGCTTACAGCTGTCACCATAATATGACTGATTATATTAACTGGCCGCTATACCATACTTCTACAGCAGCAAAACTTTGCGGATTTGTGCTGACTGCTGCCTTCTACTTACTTGCTGGAATTGTTGCTGAAGATGATGATGTGCTCATTCCTGGAAAAGGGAAAATAACTTAATATGTCAGCCCTGTTAGTGCCTTGGTTATGCTGAGGCTATCGAAGGCAGCATGGTATGATGCCTCAAAACCTTTCCTAATCCTGCTTCTACCTTGCCCTGTACTCTAGCCAGTGCCTTGCCCTTATTTCCTGCAACCTGTTGTTCAGTGTGATTTACCCTGCATGCCCGCCTGTGATATCTCTTCTCTGGCAACCTCTCTCTCCACTTAATTTGCTCTCTCCCTGCAAATTTTCTCTGTCCAAAGGCTAGGCAGGCTCCTCACATCTCTCCCTCGCCCCAGATGCCAAGCTTGTCATTGCTACCCCAAGACCAGGGCAAGGTTCTTGTTTGCGCCCTCACAGCATCTTCAGTGTATCCAGAGCATCCTGTGATTTATGCCTCTGTCCTGAGCCAACCCAGGTCCTCTTCAACACCAACATATTTAAACACTTGGAAGACTAGTAGCACTACAGGAAAAATTCCAGCTAATCCTTCCTTGAAAATCAACGTGTGAGAGGCTAGCCTAGAAACATGCACAGCAATAAGAAGGAGAAAACTCTTAGAAAGATGTGATAGCAAATCCACCAGAAGAAAGAAATTTAGAGAGCAGTAGGACATTAGAATAATCTCAGTTATATTTAATTTTTTATAGGGTATGCTCTTTGCCTAAAATGGTCACAGTTATACTTTGTCTAAGTAATTATATATTCTGTAAGGATTTTAAAGTATGTATTTCAAATCTATACATAATTTCTTAGTTTACAAGCAATTAAAAGTTATATTTCAATATACATTATATATAGGATGGTAATTACAGTTCTCTTCCAAGTCACCAAATTCTGCTTTTCACCCTGCCTGGTTTCTTTCACTTAACTCCATAGTACGTTCTCATAGGTGAGGTAGAGATTTTTGTGCCAAGGGGAAAAATACAGTAACTCTCTTTCATCCCTCCAAAAGTGGAAAGGAAAACACTTAATGAAGTTTCATTGGCTAGAGGGCTCATCTCCAAATAATGTTTTTCCAGAGCTCCTACTGAAGCCAAATTCTTTTTCTGGAGGCAGAGACCACAGGTAAAAAGAAACAAAGCTTGTGAAATCCTCCCCAACACTTTCCACTTGCAGCAAAAGCCAGCAGGGAAGAGTGGAGGGGAGACAGAGTATTGACCAGGTGCTCTTTGTCTCCCCTGGTACATCCCACTGGGACGGGGCTTGGCAGGGCATGGGGGATTCCCGGCAGGGACCACGCTGTGGGACCCAGCC